TGATTGATGGGAGAGGGTCCAGCCCTTTGCTGTGGGGTCCCCCTGTGCTAGTGGTTCTGGGTTCTATAAGAAAGCAGGCTGAGCAAGCTATGAGGAACAAGCCAGTAAGCAGCACCCTCCATGGCGTCTGCATCAGCTGCTACCTCCAGGTTCCTGTCCTGCTTGAGTTCCTGTCCTGGCCTCTTTCAGTGATGAACAGTGATGTGGAAATGTAAGCCAAGCGAACCCTTTCCTCCCCAAGTTGCTTTGGTCATGGTGTTTCATCACAGCAACAATAGCCCTGACTAAGACAGAAATCATGACCAAGGCAACTCAGAACAGAAAGCATTTAACTGGGGTCTTGCTGAGAGTTTCAGATGTTCAATCCATTATCGTCTTGGCGGGGAGTAGGGTGGCCTGCATGACAAGCATGGTGCTGAGGAAGAGTTGAGAACATTCTTATCTGCATGCAGATAGAGAGGAAGAGAGACTGGGCCTGGAATTGGCTTTTACACCTCAAAGCCCCCCTACCCCAGTGACGCACTTCCTCCAACAAGGTCACACTTCCTGATCCTTCTAATCCTTTGAAAGAATTCCACTCCCTGGTGATTAAGCAGTCAAATAGTCAAATATATGAACCTATGCAGGCCACTCTCTTGCAAACCACTAGGGAGACCCTGTCTCAAAAACAAAACAAAAGGGGCTGAAGAGATGGCTCAGAGGTTAAGAGCATTGTCTGCTCTCCCAAAGGTGCTGAGTTCAATTCCCACCAACCATATGGTGCTCACAACCATCTGTAATGGGGTCTGGTGCCCTATTCTGGCCTGCAGGCATACACACAGACAGAATATTGTATACATAATAAATAAATATTACAAAACAAAAATATCACTAAAGGTTTGTTTTTTGTTACGAGTGTTTTGCCTGCATGTGTGTATGTACTCCATGTGCATGTGTCCCCGTGGGGGCCAGGAGAGGGCGTCAGTCCTCCGAGGACGGAAATGGTAAGATTGTGAATTGCCACATGGGAGCTAGAGACCAAATCTGTGTCCCCTGCAGAAACAGTCAGTGCTCTCAGCTGCTGAGACGTCTCTCTAGCCCCTTCGGCATTCTTTATTTTTAAATTTCACGTTATCACTTTTGCCTGAGTGTATGTCTGGTATAGCATGTACAGGCAATGCCTTTGGAAGCAAGAAGGTGTTAGGTCCACTGACACCAGAGTCATAGATGGTTGTGAGCTGCCATGTGGTTGTGGATGTTGGGAACCAAACCTGGCTGTTTGTTGTCCTGGTTAGCGTTCTTAACCTCTGCCCCCACCTTCTCCATTCTTTTAAAAAGCTTATTATTTTGATGATATGAGATACAGTTCGTGTATCTGAGGCTGGTATTGAACCTCTAATCTTCCTTCGTCATCCTCTGAGCCCTGGGATTACAGGTATGTGTGGTTAAGCCCTGGAAAAAGCCAAGGTATTTTGCAGTTTTTAGATAGAGCCATTGCAATATATTTTGCAGTAATCACGAGTGCCACCTTGTGGGCATAAGGCTACATGGTCTTGCTGTAGCCTGGAAGGACTCTTCCAAGGGTCTGTGGTGCGGAAAATGGAGGGGCCTGGCTCTTGCCCTGTGGTGGTTCCTAAACCGGGAAGGAAAACCTCGCAGAGCAAGACAGGAGGCTCTGTCTGCACCTTTACTTTGTGTTAGATATAGAGCTGATATGCCTCACTGTAACTGACCTGAGGCAGCCTTTGGGGGGATGGCTTCATTTCTTGCCACCACCCCCTGTTCTTACTTAGGGATGATGAGGGATTGGCTGCCTCCCCCTCATAGGCTCTTCTTGTATTTTATTTTATTTTATTTTACTTTATTTTATTTTTTGTCAGCTGGTAGGTAGTAAGGTCCCATAGTCACTACATTGAGAACAATTTCAATTCATTAAGGTTTACAGCAAGGCAGGTGCAGGGTTTCCCCCTTCTTCCTCTGCACCCCTAGTATTGTGTTTTCTGTTTTGTTTCAATGCACTGTTTTTGTTGTTTATCTGGTTTTTGTTTGGTTTGGTTTGGTTTTTCAAGATGGGGTTTCTCTGTGTAGCCCTGGCTTTCCTGGATCTTGCTCTATAGACCAGACTGGCCTTGAACTCAGAGACATCCACCTGGCTCTGCCTCCCTTGAGTGTTGGGAATAAAGGTGAGCACTACCACCGCTGACTTTGTTTTTGGGATTTTGTTTGTTTGTTTTTAAGTCAAGGTATACCTCCCACACTGACTTTGAACAGCTGAGGATGACCTTAAACTTCTGATCCTCCTGCCTTCACCCCCTGAAAGCTGGGTCTGCAGGTGCACAATGCTGTGATTGTAACCTGGGGCCATCTGTGCCATCCAAGATGCTCTTTTCATCTCAGGGTCCTGGACTCAGTCCCACCTGCAGAGTCTCTTTGGCTATGGGAGGTGGCCCATGCACAGGGCTAGGGATTAGGACATGACCATCTTGGGGGCATGCTAGCTTCACACTGTCTGAGCCTGGTCCACGTCTCCCTCTGCCTCTGACCTCCTCCTGATGGCTTTATGCTCCCAGATCCCACTGGGTATTTCCCTGGCTATGGGCTCCCAAACACCCTTTGAAGGCTGTGAGGCTCTCGCTGTTTGGCTCCTGCTGTCTTGCAATGGTCCTTTCTGTACAGCAGGCTTACCTGTCCCAGATCCCCACCTGGGCCTGCTACTGTGAGCAATTGGTCACATCCCAGTAGGTAGATGCCTGGCACCTGGGTGTGCACTCAGTGGACAGTGGCAGGGCTGACAGGTGTGCTTCTGGGAGGTGGAGAACTCATAAGTCCAGCGAGGTCAAACAGTGGCAGGGGCACCAGGAATGCAGACAGTAGCTCAGGGGTTACAGGATGAGTGCTGCCAGTAGATCTGAGCGTGGCAGGGGGAAGCTGGGCAAGGAAAAGCTGAAGAGTTTGAGGCACTAGCAGTAGTGAGCTTGGTGGTTATGGAGGGAGGAGGAGGGCAGCCCCTGGCTGAAATTGGAAATTTGGTGACAGGTGAATTTGACAAAAAAGATCTTGTGAACCACAGCGGGAAGCCTTGAGAGTCTTTCGGGGAGCGGTGGCCTGGTGACATCTTCCTTTAGGGTGGCTCTGGGCAGGTACAGAACGAGGATGGCAGTAGGCCGGGCATGAGGCTGCTGTGGTCCAGGTGGGCAGAGCAGTTGGATGTGTGAGGGTAGTGGTCAGGATGGAGGATGTGGGGAGAGACCCCCTTTCCTTCCACTTTCATATCTGGCTCTGATACCTTGAGCTGTCATCCTTGTCCTGTGTATCAGGCATTTTCTGTGCAGAATTCTCCTTCCAGGGCTTTGCCCAGCAGAAGGATATGTGTGCTCGGTCCCCTGATTTAGAGTGCAGTGGACTCTCTGGGCCAAGCCGGTCTTAGCTGCCATTCTCGGAGGTTCCCATCCATGGGCAGACCTCCCAGGGCCTCTAGAAACAAGGCTGCCCACTGAGGCTCCCAGGCTGGACATTAACCTGTCATCCCAGCACTTGGGAGCTAGAGGCAGGATTGAAAGTTTGATGCCAGGACTGGAGAGATGACTTGGCGGTTAAGAGCGCTGACTGCTCTTCCAGAGGTCCTAAGCTCAATTCCCAGCAACCATAGGATGGCTCACAACCATCCGTGATGAGAACTGGTGCCCTCTTCTGGCCTGCAGATACACACGCAGGCAGAACACTGTATACATAATAAATAAATTAAAAAAAAAAAGTTTGAGGCCAGCCTGAACCTCATGAAGAGACCTCATCTCAAAACAACAACAACAAAGCTAAGAAAACAGAGGGCCAACATGTTGGTTCAGTGGGGAAAGGAGCTTGTCGCAAAGCCTGATGACATGAGTTCAGTCCCCAGTACCCACTCTGTGGAAGGAGAGAACCACAACAATTGTCCTCTGACCTTCACCTGTACGCTGCGGCGGTGCATGATGTAGCAACATCTAGGCCCTAAAATCCAAATCCACAGAATATTCTCTTCCCTGAAAATGACATCTGGCCAAGCCAGAGGAAAGAGTGTCCCAGCTCTATGTTCCTGGGAAAGTTACCCTTGCTGAACCCTGGCTCAGACTATGGCCCTGGCTTCTGATTATGAGAGGTCTGAAAAGGCGCTTGGCCCATGGCATAGAAACTTTGGATGAACTCTCAAGCCTAGACATCCAGTTGGGGTCTTTATAACCTATCTGGCTTCTTGCTCGCAGCCTCTGGACCCCATCTCCTCTCTATCTCTACCGTCTCCCCTTCCTCCCAGCTATCATCCAAGGCCACACCTCCATCCCCACTGGCCCTCCCCTTTGTTTATTCATGCCAGGTGGGGACTGGATGAGGAAGGAGGGTGCCGAGGGCAGGGACTGTGTAGCCTCCTATATGGTCTGACTGACACATGGTCATGTGCCACAGACGGGAGACCTATGCTGTCTTGGCTGCTCAGCCGGGCTACCTCATGATGGCTCCTGCAGTCCTACATGAGCTTGTGGCTGGGCACACTGACTCAGACAGTTTTCACAGGAGCTTGTTGACTTGAGCCCCACAGTGGCTCAAGTCATTCCCTCCGCTCCCCTCTCCCCCCAGCTTTCTTTTTCCTTCCAGACAGTCTCTATACCCCAGGCTGGCCTTGAACTCACTGTGTAGACCAGGCTGGCTGCAAACTTGCAGCGGCCCCCTGTCTAGGCCTCCTGGACTGTTGGGATTATAGCTGTGTGTCATCACACTCAGCTGGGCTGGTGTCATTTAAACAATTGTGTAGGTGTTATGCTTGACGTGCATTGTGTGTGCAATGCCTCATTGAGACCAGAAGAGGGCGTCGGATCCCTTGGAACCAGAGTTAAGCAGGCGTGGGCTGACACGTGAGTTCTGCACCAGCGTCCGGTGCTAGAGCAGCAATGATCCTAACTACTCTGCCAACTCTCCAGCCTCTGGTGTCATTTTTCCGGCTACAATTTCAAACAGCAAAGCTTCTGTTACTGTGGGCTTGGGAGGAGTCCTCTGTGCCGCTCGGATGGTGGAGTTCTCTGGAAGCGGCTGCATGTCAGTGGGGACATCTCTGCTGGAAATTCTGAAGCTTCCCTGCACCCTGCCTCTGCTGTGTTTGTCCCCAGCACCAGAAAAGGCCGGGTAGGGCTGACAGGAACCTATTCCACCCTCCTGTCCAAAAGACCAGTTGGCATCTACTTCTGTGTGACAAGTGCTACTACACTGGCCGGTAGGATGGACTGCAGGAGGTAAGGGGGGGGGTCATCTTTTCCACTCTAGTCCTGGGGGGCTAGCCCCAACTCCCTGTTCCCAGCATCCCTGCTCCCAGCTCCCCTGCTGGGAGCCCCCTTCTCCCAGGCTCCTTTCAATCAGACCCCTGCTCTCAAACCTCCTGTTCTGCTCCCAGCCCCTCAGCAGCTTCTCAGCACCTCCTCAAGCCCACTCCCCCACCCCCGCCGCCTTCTTACCTTAGATCACTGGCCGCTGTGTCACCCACCTCACCCTCCCAACCCTAGGTGCTCCTCCTCGCAGTCTCAAGTTCACTGCTCCCAGGTTCTGCCCACTCCCCGTGAACTACAACTCCATTGGTTGAACTTTTTACCGGGCTCCGCCTCTGAATTGACTTTCCCCAATTGGTGCTCACGACCATTCGTCAGCGCTGTTGCTAGGGAATGGGTTGGGCTACCCGTGCAAGGCTGGCGCTTTGGACACACCGGAAGGAGCTCGGTCCCCGTGAGCCAAGGCTGGTGAGCCGGAGATTGGGAGCTCTGGGGGAAGCTAGGTGTAGCTCAAGGAAGGAAGACCTGCAGGGCGGCCTCAGCAAGCCCTCAAGGAACCTTCCCTCTGTCAGAGCTACTGTCGGAGAAACAGCGCCTGGGAAGGGTGAAGCTGGGCGTGCTCAGGAGGCTGTGGGCCTGCCTTATTTTCCAAGAAAACCGAGGAGTTCCTTCAGAGCCGAGCTCAAATCCCAGTTAGGAAGAGGCGAGGGAGGTGCCCCGGTCTGTATCCTTGCGGGAGGCTGGGCTGGAAGGAGAGCGGCCAGCCTCAGAGGCCCCAGTGGGCTTCAGGATTCAAACATGGACTTGATATGGCTGCTCAGAAGGGGTGGTGGACATTGACCCCAGGAACCAGAGGGCCATGATCCCTTGGAGGCCTTATGGGAAGAGCCTCCGCCTGCCACCAGAAACCTGGGGCTGCAGAGAAGCTATCCCGTGCTTTAGGGCAAATTTAGGAGTCCCCTTCTAGTATTGTGGGCCCATCAGTGTCTGTTTTTGGCCACCGGACCAGGTACTTTGGATGGCTTCATTCAGTCTGATGCCTTAATTTTAAATGATTCACCTGAGCCTCTTAAAGCTCAGCAGGGCATACTCCTCTCAAGGTCCTGGAGTAGTGACGTGGTGATGGGATTTCACAGCTGGGGAGAGGCTGGGCTCCTCTGGGAATGGGTCACCTGGTTGGGGGAGGAGAAAGGACCTGATTAGCTAATAAGGATGGTGGAGTATGGAGGATGGGCTGTTGCTGAGATTGATTGTTTAAGGAAGTGCACCGGTGGGCTTAGGGAACTTAAACTCTGGGCAGGCAAAGGCTTGCCCCATGATTGTCCCCAGGTGGGAAAGCGGTCATGTGCACCTTGTTATGGAACAAGTGTTTGGTGGGTCACTTTTGCTCAGTTTGTGCCTGCAGAGCTCTGGCCCTGTGTGGAGGATGGCCAGGGCTGTGGTGACCTTCAGGGGGCCCCTCGTTCGGTCCCTGCCCTACTTTCTCATCGAGCCATGGCTGGATGCTTTGTGGTGTGAAGAGGTTCTGTGCCCTGTAAGGTGTTCAGAAGTGTCCCTGGCCTCTGCCCAGTGGATGTGAGCATCTCCCTTTCCCCCACGCCCCACCACAGACCTTTTTTTTTTTTTAATGTAAGAAAAATGGCTTTTACCCTTGTCAAATGTCCCTTCTGGGTTACAAGGCTCATACTCACTGCTGCAGTTGACCTTACAGTAACTGAGGCGCCTTCACCTACGAAGGGTGGATAAAAGTTGACAGAGGAAGGGTGTCCCATGTACCCACGTGTTCCCATAGAGGTCTTGGACACTAGACAGAACCTGCCTCTGACTGCATTGCTACTTGGACACATCAAAGACCTTTCTTCTGGAAACTGACAGATTTCTGGCCACATGACAGAGCTTGTGGGGGACAGCTTGGAGCCTGCGAACCATTCTTGCCTCAGTTGAGGGAGGAGACAGGCTGCCTTCTAGCTGTATTAGCTGGGGCAGTACAGGGCATAGAGCTGTAGTCTCAAGATCCCTCCCCAGTCTTCCTGAGCTGTGGGCTTTAGACCTGCCCTTCCCCCGCAGGCTGCCCCCCCCCCCCTTACCATGCAGCCGCTCCCCGCTTCGCCACAGAGCAGCTGCTCTGACTCTGTCCTGGCATCTGGCCCTATCCCGTGCTGCCCCTGGGTTGTTTTCTGTTCAAACCCTGCTTGTTTTCTGTTCAAGGCTGGGTGCTTAGCAATTACTTTCTCAGTAAGTTGGGTCCCCACTGTGGCTTTATGCTGTCAGGCCGTGGTTATGTAGATGTCACTGAGCAGGGGCAGGCCATGCACAGTGGGACAGGTGATGTTGGCCATGGGGCTCCTCTAGGTCAGGGTGGGCTTGAGGAGGCTGCAGGGAGAAATAGTGGCAAGGTTTATGGAGACTTGGTGAATCCACACATGTGCCTTCTGGTAAGCAGAGAACTAAAACCGAGAACACGTGTGTAGCCACAGGTGATATCCTGGTGGGGTGTGCTCAGCCTTATGTACCTGGCGAGTTTCGTGTGTATCAGCTGATAGCCACCCCCCCCCCCCCCCGCTTTCTCAAGAGGCAGGGCTCTCCTGTGGCCCACAGGTCTGCAGCAGAGGCATGATTCAGCCTCCCTGTGTAGGGCAGGAACAGGCACCATGCGATTCTGCACATGACCCGGTGTTGGCCTCTCCCCACCTCCATGACCACCAACCATTTTCTTCTTCCTAGTTATGCTCCAGCCCTTCTGTACTCTCTTCTCAGTTGGAAATTAAGACACCGAGGCACTGAACTGTCCCTTCCCTTAGAGTCCTCCCCACACCACTCAGGACAGCTTGGAGTCCATTCTGAACCCTCCCTACAGCCCTGGTCTGCAGCTCTGACCCCAGGCCTGGGCCTGTATTGGCATTTTTCATTGTCATTGTCCCAACCCTGCCTTAGGTCACTTCACCGTGGTTCCCACGTGGTTCCCCATAGTCGGATGGCTTCAATGAACTGCAGAAGCAATGTCTCTTTCCCTGTACTTCCAAGCCTGGGTGACTGGCATAGCTGTTGCCTGGACATCCGAAGTCCACCCTTCTAGCTGTTTTGAAGCACACTGTTCTTCACTGTCCCCCTCCTGAGCACAGGACTCTGTACCTTCCCCTAGACAACCGTGACACTGTGTCTGGTGGTCACCCCCTCTCTCCTTCAGAACTCAACCAGGGAGACTGACAACCTGACTGAGTGCCGGGTTGCTGCTTAGAGTTGCAGTCTCAGGGGTGTGTCCCTGGAGGAATGGGATTCAGCTGTGCTGCTGTCTGGTTAGGAGGTGAGGCCAGCCTTGTGCTCCTGGCTGTGGGGTGCAGCCTGGACTTGCTGCTGAGTCTCTTTAGATGGATTGTTGTGTCTGTGTGAGGTGGGCTGAGTGAACCCTCTTTCCAGCCCGCTTCTGTGGGCAGTGCTCTGGTGAGCCCTCTGGGGCGGGATGTGTCTTCTGGGGAAACTTGGTAACATGGAAGCTGTCAAGAGCAGGGCCCCTGACCCCCTGAAAAAAAGACAGCAAAGAACAAAGGTGGGCAAGGATGTGGAACCTTGTGCTGGACTGGTGGGAATGTAATTGGAGAACAAGGTGGCAGCTCCTTGGAACATCAAGAGTCCCACTGTCCTGTGTCTGAGGCTTGAAGCCTGTGGGCGGAGTACGAAAACCTGCAGAGCGGGACCCAAGTACATAGGCTTACTGCCTGTAATAGCCACACAGTGGAAGCAGCCAGGTGCCTGCCTGTTGGTTACTGGTGACCAAAATGTGGTATGTCCACACAGTGGCATGTTATTCAGCTATGAAAAGGAGTGAGGTATTGATACATTATACGTAGCCAGTTGTGGCCAGAAGCTTCTGGGTACCACCAGCCGTGCTCCAGTCTCCTGAATGTTAGGGTTATGGACTGTGCCATTATGCCAGGTCTCAGTAGTGTGGTTTTAAATGAGTTCAGGCTGCTTTAGCTGACTTGAGGGATCAGGATGGGGCCTTCGGGCTTCGCTTGTGGCAGCTGTTAGTTTATACCCCATCAGACCAGAATCCCCATCAAAAGGACTTTAACTGTGTTTTTCAGTGAGTGGGTCATTTGCTACCGTGGGTTTTCAGTATTTCAGTGATCTCATGTTGTAACTTTTCTCCCTTCCCGATCTGCAGAGAGCTCCAGAGACCAGGCAAGATGGGAAATGCCAAGAGCCTGTCGAGCCAGAAAATGGGTTCCAAGTTCCTGCCCGAGGAGCAGGCTGAGGTGGATAGGCTGTTTGATGTCCTGTCATTTAATAAAGGTGGCTCGGCCGCGGGGACTTTCTCTCTGGAGGCGCTAAAGGCAAGAGCGACCGCGTGGTAGGGGATTTGGGGTCTGCAGGTGCGCTAAGCACTAACAAGCTGGCTTTGACATTATATATTCCATGACTATGTCACAGCTCTGTCCTTGCAAGGTAGAAAGCAGCCATGGGCCATGTATGAATAGCACCCACACTCTGTTTTTTTAAGACAGAGTCTTGGTGTATAACCATAGCTGGTCTAGCCTGGAATCCACTGTATAGCCCAGGCTGGCCTTGAACTGACAGTGGCTCTCTGCCCTCAGCCCTCCGAGCGCTGGTGCAAAAATGAAATGTCTTATATGTCCTAAATCAAGGAGCTGATGCCAGGCCTGGCTGTGTGTGCCTGTAGTCCACACACCCAGGAGGCTGACGGGAGGATTGCTGAGCCTACATAGTGAGGCCTTGTCTCAGAAAACAGGAAGAAGGGTCAGAGGGAAGGTGGAAGCAAGGGGAGAGGGAACTTGGAATGGCCTGTGATCGGACAGCGTTCAGGCTATTTGTAACTTGGCATGACCTCCGGGTGGCGGTCTAGAGCCATGCTTGATGCCCCAGCTGTCGGTGGCCTCTAGAATGTGCTCTTGACACCAGGGAGTTTCGTGGCATTTCCCGCTCAGTACCAGAGTCTCAATGAAGAAGTGAGAAGCGGCCATGTCCTCAGGGCCACTGCCCTGCTCCTCAGAACGTGGGCATAAGCAAACATAAGCTTACTCCCAGAGACTGAGCATGGGTGTAGTCTATGAAACTGTTCTAAAGCTTCATCTTCTAGGGCAGCGGTTCTCAACCTGTGGGTCACAGCCCCTTTGGGGGTGTCGAAGGACCCCTTCACAGGGGTCACCTAAGACCGTCAGGAAACAGATACTTGCATTATGATTCACAACATTAGCAAAGTTACAGTTTTGAAGTAGCAATGAGAATAATTTTATGTTTGGGGGTCACCACAACCAGAACTGTATTAGAGGGTCGCAGCATTAGGAGGGCTGAGAACCGCTGCTCCAGAGCACGTAGAAGGCAGCGGATGGGGGCTCCAAGGATCCACTGCCACTTTCAGCCAACCAGCTGCACCAGGCTTTGTGGGAGCCCCACATGCGGTATATGTGCGTATGTGGGCGACTGAGGTGCAGCCGCACATGCATGCAGCTGGAGCAGAGAGATCAGTCAAGCCTATGTCAGTTATTGAGGTACACGGTGGCAAGTTGCTGTGAGGCTTGGCTCTTTGTGGGGGGGCAGTCGTGGCTTCTGGGCTCAGCACTTTGAGGACCACCCTCTCCACGTGTGAGGGATGAGCCTGGCAGCAATGGCAGCATTCAGTAGGGACAGGCTAGGGGTGCCCTGAGCTGTTGGGGGGATCCAGCCCTGACCCTGCTCTGCAGGACACCTTGGTGGGAAACACTCCCTCTCCACTTCTTTGTAACCTGTGGGTCTAAAGAGATTTGACGGCTCCAGCCATTTGCCGAATGTTAAGGTCTTAGGAGTGGTTGATCTAATGGCCGGTGCTGTAGCTCAGCGGGAGAGCACTACCTGGCCTGGATGAAGGCTCTGGGTGCCCTCTGTGGCTCTGCAAAAGAGAATAAAGATGGAAAAGTAGTTTGAAGCCTGGCAGGAGTAAGAGCTAGCTAGTGCATAGCGGCCCAATGCAGAGACCACACCAGCTCCCCACAGGCATGGCCCACACATTCGTGAGCTCAGACAGGTGCTGCAGCCACAAGAATCGATGAACATGGGGCCCTAAGCAGAGTGAGGAGCAGAGGCAGGAAGGACAAGTCTGGCCTGGGAAGACTGGAGTGGGAGGGGCAGGCAATGACCAGACAGGAAATATCTTATCTGATGGGCTCGATGAACTGGAGTGCTTTGGGTTTTTCCTTTTTTTTTAATCAATAAATTAATTAGCTTTCTGAGATAGGATTTCTTTGTGTAGCCCTGGCTGTCCTGGAACTCACTATGTAGACCAGGCTGGCCTTGAACTCAGAGATCTGCCAGCCTCTGCTTCCTAAGTGCTGGAATTAAAGATGTGTACCACCACCGCCTGGCTTTTTTGCCCCCTCACTACTAGAGATCAAACCCTGGGCCTTCCACACAGCGGTGAGCTCTCTCCTACTGAGCTCCACCCCAGCCTGAGCCGGTACACTTTGGGAACCTCTGGTTGGGGAGATGGTACTGTGGGGGTTATCACAAGGTTATGCAGGTGCAGGCAGCATCTGTGGAGCAGTGGTTGGGCTTGTCCTGAGCTTGTTTTCCCATGAACCCTGCCTTAGAGCTCTTCTGTCTGTCCCCAACAGAGCCACGTCAAGGAGGTTCTTCCTCTGGTGATGGTCACCAGGCTATACAACGGCATGTGGAGGGTCAAGGCCACCCACAAGGCACAAGGGGGCAAGAGGAATGTCTCCCGGGAGCAGTTCACAGTGTTCCTGTCCCACCTGTTGAAAGGCAGCTTCGAGGAGAAGGGCCACATGATTATGAAAATGATCATAACTGCAGAGGGTCCTGTGACGGCCAGAGACGTCCAGAAGGTAGACACTTGGTGTGCTGTCTGGGGACTTGGGACAGGGGCTTAGGTCATGATGGCATCGTGATAACTGGCCAGCCTCAGGAGCCCGAGCCCATACAACAGCTTGGTTGATCAGGAGCTCTTGAACTAGTTTTGGCAAACTTTCAGGTGAACTAAGTGTGTTATTAGGAGAATGAACTCCGGGGCCTGGAGAGATGGCTCACTGTCTAAGAGCACTGGCTTCCATTCCCAGCAACCACAGCGTGCCTCACAACCATCTGTAACGAGATCTGATGCCCTTTTCTGGCCTGCAGGCATATATGCAGACAGAGAACTCATATGTAAAATGCATACATGAATAAAATTTAAAGAAAAAGAATGATAGCCAGGCCCGGGGGCACAGGCCTGACATCCCAGCTACTCAGGAGGGTCAAAGGCCAGCCTAGGCACCTTGGTAAGACCTTGTGTTGGAATTTAACAGAAAGGGGAAGAGGGCTAGGGCTGTATTATCACTTGGTAGGATTTTCACATAACATCCACAAAGCCCATGGTTCCATCCCCAACAGCTCATACAATAGGTATAGTGGCCCACATCTGTAATCCCACCACTTGGCAGGTAGATCAGAAGTTCAAGGTCATCCTCAGCTACACAGTAAGTTTAAGGCCAGTCTTGGCCATATGAAACCCTCTCTCTAAGTTTTGGGGACAATTTGGGCTACATGAGATGCTAAGAAAAGAAAAAGAATACATGAATAGCTACATGAAGTAGGGCCGTGTCCATGCTGTGGTCCACAGTGGTTGGTCCTGAAAAGATAAACATCTTCACAGTGATGCACTGGGAGTGGGTCGGGGAGGGCTTGGCTCTAACGGCGAAGTATCTCTCAGTTCACAGAGGAACTGGTGACCTCTGTGGTGCACGTGCTGACCCACCGGCATGAACTTCGAGGCTGGACTGGGAGGAAATCCACAGTGTCCCCCACCAGTGTGCAGGCCATGGCTGCCCAACTGCTCTCAGAGATGAAGTTTCAAGGCAAGTGTCGGACTGTCCTCTGTGATTTAGACCTTGGCATGGTGGGGTTGCCACAGTCGCTGGTACTGTAGCCTCCCAGGGAAGATCTGCCAGGGTGTGTGCCTGTCTCCCTGGCTCTGTGATTGCTATGGGACGTCCTTGTGCAGACGCCATTGTGACGTCACACTTCCTCCTCTGGTTTCAGTGCCTGAAATCTGTCTTTCTTGGTCAGTCTAGTAGAAAGGGTCTCAATATTTTTGTTGATTTTAAAAAAGATTTATTTGTATGTATGTGTGTGTGTGTGTGTGTGGTGCTACAGTGACTTCCTGGTATTCCTTGGCTCCAGACCTCCAGGATCCCTTCCTATTTGAACCGCAGTGCTTAGAGTGTATACATGTCTGTGTCAGGCGGCTTCCATCTTATTTTTTGAGGCAGTCTCTCACTGACCTGGGGCCCATCCATTGGCTAGGCTGATGGTCCAGAAACCCCAGGGATCCACCTGTCTCTGTCTCTGTCTCTGCTCACCGGTGCTGAGGTTAGATACAGCCGGGGATCTGAACTCACGTCTTCAGGTTTGTTTGGCAGGTACTTGACCAACCAAGCCATCTCCTTAGCCCCCGTTGTTTCTTGAGGTTTAAATGGCTAACCTGAGGTCTCCCCACTTCAGTGGAGGTGTTTGTCGCTGTTATGTGGCTCCCTAGCTGCACCAGAGGTTGCCATGTGCAGCTTTTGTTGTCATTCAGCTCAGTGGTTCCTTTTAGTTTACCATATATTTAGTTTTATGTATGTGTGCATGCATGTGCACGCATGTGGGTATCTACAGAGACCAGAAGAGAGCATCAGATCTTCTGGAGCTGGAGTTATAGGCACTTGAGAGCCACCAGACTTGGGGGTTGGAAATTCAACTTTACCACTGGGTGTGGTGGTGCATGCCTTTAGCTCCAGCACTTGGGAGGCAGAGGCAGGCGGATCTCTGCCAGTTCAAAGTCAGCCTGGTCTACAAAGCAAGATCCATGGCAGCTAGAGCTGTTACACAGAGAAACCCTGACTCTAAAAACCAAAAATAAATAAATAAATAAATAAATAAAACAAAATCATACAAAGGAAGAGAGACATGAGTTTTGCTAATATATCCAAAATATGCTTCTAATCCGTTAGTGTGAATATTGCAGTATTTTGCAGTAAGTTTTCATTCTGGGTGTTTGAAATTGGGAGTGCTCGTTAGACTTACGACATGCCTCAGCTCAGGTGAGCCACCTGCCTAGTTCACAGCCACGTGTGACTGGTTCTTAAATCGGTTATGGCAGGCTTAGATGGCTGCTGTCAGGTGACATAGTGGGATTACTATTGCTGTCCCTTTCCATAGATGGCCACAAGTTTCGGGGGCCTCAGTGCCTGGACCAGGTCTGCGACCAAGCTGTGATTGAGGACTGGGTGTTCCATGTCCCTCACGTGGGCCTGTTTCTGAGCGTGGTCATCCTTCGGGGCCTTCGCCTCCTGAACTCATCCGTGGACCTTTCCACGCTGGTGCCCGAGCGCCACGTGGATAAGGGGCAGCCGTTTGAGAGCATCCTGGACGTGCTGCCGGTCATCTACCTCAACTCCCACCTGGCCACAGATCAGCAGCACCGCTGGCGGCTGCTCTTCTCCACACAGCTCCACGGACAGAGCTTTTCCCAGCTGTGCAGCCGCATCACACACCAGGGGCCCTGCCTGGTTGTCCTCGAGGACAGGGATGGCTATGTCTTTGGTGGCTTTGCCTCCCGTTCTTGGGAGGTCAAGCCTCAGTTTCAAGGTAAGACTTCCAAGACCGTAGTAGGGGCTGTGCTGGTAAGCACCGTCACCTTGACACAGCCTAGAATCCCCGGGTGGAGAGTCTAAGATGTTATCAGGAGCGGGTTGTTGATTGACGTGGGAAGACTCACCTACTGTTGCTAGCATCATTTTGTGGGCTGGTCCTAAACTATACAGATGTAAAGAAAGCAGGCTGAGAACGAGTGGACATTGCCGATGGAGTCTTTTCCCTCTGCTGTGACTGCGGTTCTGGTGTGCCTAGCTGCCTGAGTTCTTGCCTCGACTTCCCCAAAATGGTGAACCATTACCTAGAATTACAAGCCCAGTAGTCCCCTTTCCCTATGTTGCTTATGGTCCAGGTCTTAGCACAGCAACGGACAGGAAGCTAGGACACTTATTTTTTTTATATTTTTTAATTGATTTTTATTGGGCTCTACATTTTTCTCTGCTCTCCTCCCTGCCTCTCTCCTCTCCGCTTCAACCCTCCCCCAAGGTCCCCATGCTCCCAATTTACTCAGGAGATCTTGTCTTTTTCTACTTCCCATGTAGATTAGATCTATGTAAGTCTCTCTTAGTGTAGGACACTTATTTTTGTTGCTTGACCAACTACCTTACAAGAGCAGCCAGAGATGGGGAGGCTGTGTCACAGTTTGCGATGGGTACAGTTCATCATGGTGAGCCAGGCAGGGTGGTGGGAGCAGGTGACGGCTGCTCATCTACATCTGGTGGGTTAAGAAGTAGTGAGGTTGGAGAAACGGCTCAGAGGATCTGGTGCCCTCTTCTGGCCTGTGGGGGCACTGGGTACACATGGGATGCACACATATCATGTAGGCAAAACATGCATACACACATTTATTTATTTATTTATTTATTTATTTATTATATATACAATATTCTGTCTGTGTGTATGTCTGCAGGCCAGAAGAGGGCACCAGACCTCATGACAGATGGTTGTGAGCCACCATGTGGTTGCGGGAATTGAACTCAGGACCTTTGGAAGAGCAGGCAATGCTCTTAACCACTGAGCCATCTCTCCAGCCCCTCATACACACATTTTCAAGAAGCAGATAGGGGGGCAGGCGGGACAGGAGTGGCCCTGGGCTATTAATGTCTGAGACCTGTCTCCCCAGCTACCTCCTCCTCTGCCTAGAGGTCCCATAATCTCCCCAAACAGCTCTACTGGTGCGGCACCAAGTATTCAGACAAGTGAGCTGGTGGGAGACATTTCACACTCAAACCTTAGCAGGGACCTAAACCCTGAGGGCTTGAAGAAGCTTGGGGTGGGCTGGCCAGATGGCTACTGCCTGGGCACAAGCTCTGGTTTTCATACATATTTATACACATACACACACACACACACACACACACACACACACACACACACACACCTCTTAACCCTCCAGTGGTTTCTTGACTGAAGCAGCAATGGAGGTATTATGCTCCTCTCTGGTATCACAGACCTCTTCTTTGGCCCTGGGAAGGGATCAATCCTGCTTCTAGGTGACAGCCAAGATGTCACCAGATGGATGCCCAGGAGGGGCTATGAGTCGTCTCCTCATAGGGATGCTTGCTTACTGCACTGCCCCCTTCCCATGGGTGCTACCTTGTCCCCCTCCTTGCTCTGCTTTTCTGGTTTTGTGGCTTGTCATCTGTGGGAGCTCCGCGTGTGACTGCGTCAGCTGTAACCTGTCCTCACTGCTCTCACGGGAGTTGTCCTTCCTGGCCGTCCCCAGGCTCCTCCATAGGTGACAGGCTGCCTGCCTCCTGTGCCCACAGATGGCCAGCTTTCACCAAGGTGCCATAGTGGTGCCCCTATGTTTACAGTGTTCCTCTGGAGGCCAGGGGGCCACAGGCAGGTGGGGCTGCCATCCCTGGAGATCTTCTGGTCAGGCTGGTGGTCACAGGTCTGGAAGGGAAAAGAACAGTTGGTTGAGGGTTGTCTCATACACACCTACACACATATGAACACACACATGTTCTCTTGGTTCCCTAGATCAGGTTTGATTTCCTGCTAAGTTTTGGGGTGTTTCAGAACTTCAGCCCAGTTCAGGGAATGGCGGGAACCTTCCCCAAGTCCAAGCGTCCAGGTGTTGCCAGGTTGGCAGGTGGGTCTGTCTGGAAAGAGCAGCCTCAGGCTCTGCAGTCTGTGCTGTTGGCCATGTTGTCCTAGGGCAAGGCAGCACTACACTCTCCCAGAGGCTCCAGGGCAGGCTGCACTCGCCCCCTCACTGTGCCCCTGCAGGCTCAGCTCCTCGCAGATGAACCTCACTTCCTCCAGAGCCTGTGCACTGACCTCAGGCAGCGCTGTAGGTCTCTGATCCTTGAGCCTTCAGCTGCTCCATCCGGGTCCCTAGGCACCCATAAGGCTTGTTTGGTGTGGTGTCTGGGACCTGCCCTCTGCTTACCAAGAGTCCACTCCACACCGCTCCTAAGGATGCATAAGCTCTTCATGGCTGCATTCTGGCATGCAACCTGCCGGTGTTTGTAGGTCTTTGTGTCTGGCTCAGAGGCAGTGACTCTTGCCTTGGCTCTCTGTCACTTCCAGGGGACAACAAATGCTTCCTTTTCTCCATCACACCCAGTATGGCCACGTACACGTACACAGGCTACAATGACCACTTCATGTACTTGAATCACGGACAGCAGACCATGCCCAATGGACTGGTAAGCAGGTGGGGAAGGGGGTGTCCTGCCAGTCACAGGGGAGTGCTTTCTGTGTGTCTGTCCCTTCTGCTGAGAGCCCAGCCCAGGGCACATCTTCCTTAGTGATAACCATGCCTTTGTTGGGCTTTCCTCTGTTGTGTGTAAACAGCCTGGCCCTTTGGGTAGACCCCAAATGATTGGCCTGGGTCCCAAGAGGGTGTTGGGAGAAGACACATTACAAGGCCCTGCCATCCTGCCTCACCCCTGCGTGTGCTGAGCCTGCACACCAAGGCTGTGTGCCGAGTTTGGTGGAGGTGGGAGATGCCTAAGCTGAGGGCTCTGGACGCTGGGTCTGGTTGTTAGTAACTTACAAGACAGAAAACAGGCTCTGCTTGTGTGGTCGTGTTCTTACATGTTGATAGCTGGAGGAAGGAAAAGAGAGGAGAGAGAGGGAAAGGGAAGGGAGGGGATGGGGGAGAGGAGAGGAAGCTGGAGGCCAGGCCAGCAGTGGATGTGTGGAGATATAGTGAGACAAACACCCACAAGGACGCTTGGCATGGGTGAGAGCCACCTAACCTGTTGGCCTTTTTCGTTTCTCTTGATGAGTCTTGTGGGAAGGCCCAGCTCTGTGCTTGCTGAGCTGAGAGCCAAGGACATGATCCCCTCTGCCAGCTAGAGAGGTTCAGGGGTTCACTTCCAGGCTGATCCCACAGCAAGTGGGAGGGACGTGGGCCAGGTCTCCAGGACACCAGAGTTTAGGCACTGTACCTCTCTCAGCTTGAGCCTGGCTGTCAGCCCCAGGAGCAGCCCCAACACCCGAAGGACCCATCGCCTTCTAGACATAAGCTCAGATCTCTACATGTCCAAGATGGAAGCAGGTCATAGCTTGTCCCTCAGGCCCACTAGGGACAAGAAGGTTGGCAGAGGTGGCATCAGGACAAAGCTGTCGGGGAGTCAGGGTAACAGCTGGCTTGAACCTGGCATTACCTGTGTGGTGGGGAGAAAGGGTTTGAGTTGCCACTTGTAGCCTGCCACCTTTCCCAAGGGAGAGTCATGGGGCCAGGGCGCAGATGGGTTTCCCTGTGCTCACCTCATCCCTGAGTACTGCTTGGGACACCCAGGGAGTCTGCAGATTGCCTAGTCTGCTGTCCCCTGTGTGTAGCCGCACCAGAGAGCTGTGGCGTGTGGTCCGCTGGTACCCATGACCATTTAGTAACTTTGGAACGTGTTTACAATCACAGCCCAAGGAAACAAAGCTGCCCCCCTGCATTCCTCCTTCCCTCATGTCTCAGGCTAGCCAGGATCCTCCTGGTTCTCTGGAGTGATCGATCAAACATGGCTGCCGACAGTGTCTTCTGTCTCCATTTGCTCCACAGGGCATGGGCGGGCAGCACCATTATTTTGGGCTTTGGGTGGCTGCAGACTTTGGGAAAGGACACAGCAAAGCTAAGCCCACATGTACCACCTACAACAGCCCACAGCTGTCTGCCCAGGAGGACTTCCAATTTGATAAGATGGAGGTGTGGGGGCTCGGTGATGTCTTAGAGACATGTCTGGTAAGTTCTGCGTGGCAGTGACCTCATGTAGAACCGTGGCTGTTCTGCTTTTTCTTACTCTGCCTGCCTTTCCACCTGGGGAAGCTTATCTCTACCAGCGATGGGCCATGCCTGGATACATGCAGCAAAATAGAGTATGGGTTTGCCCTGGAAGCGGGGACCTATCTAAGGTGTGCACCTGAGCCATCTACATGGCCCTTTGCCTTCCCTACCCGTCTCCAAGAACACTTGGTTTCTGCATGGCCCTGGCAATTGCATCCCTGCCAGGGAGGTTTCAGGATACCCATGCCGCTTGGCCTCTTCATGGCTCTATTCTGATGAGCTGACTGCTGGGGGCGGGGTGTCACTGTATATCCCAGATTGGGGCAGCTTCTGCATACGCTCACTCCCCTTCTTCCCAAGGTCAAGAACAAGAAGAGCATCCTTGACTCGGATCCTGCAGCCCAGTCCCTGCTGGAGATCAGTGGACGGACTCGCCACAGTGAGGGACTGCGGGAAGTCCCCGAAGAAGATGACTGAGGCTCCTGAACCGTGGGCTTCCTGGAGCAAGGGCTGGGACTCCCCCAGCGATACAGTGCACAGGGTATCCAGATTCCTCACAGCCAGGGAGACAAAACCCTGCAGACCCTCTGCCCTGACTCTGGCTTAGCTTTAACACCAGCCACATGGCCACAGCCATGCCAAAAGAAACCCCTCTGAAGCCATATTGATGGGTGTTGCCTCCCAGGATCCCTATGCATAAGTTAGAACGTTGGCCTTATACTTTTTCATTTCATGTCAATGGAATCCAAGACAAAGAGGCTTGAAACCTGCCGGAACTGGTGATGGGTAGGGGCGTGTATTCTTGCCTCAGGAGGTGGCTGCATGCGTGGCCTTTGCTCTGGGTCTCAGTGGGCACTCTGATGACTCATCGCAAGTGGAAAGACAGAGGTGCTTAGATGAACATCTTGGTACTTTGTAAGAACACCCTCAGCGCCACCATGGGACTTCTGGGTTTGTAGCGAAAGCTCTGAAGGTAATGTTTCTGGGGGCAGGACTCCTCAGAGCAGGTTTGGGATGGGGTTCCCATCTAGTTTTCTCAACACTTTTTTTTTTTAAATGAGTCAGATTAGTAGATGGGCGAACTTGACCTATCTGCCCAGAGACCAAGTCATTACTGTGCTGCTAACTAAATTTGAGGGCATTTGGAGGGAGCCAGAGTCTGGGTGCTTGCTTAATGGATGCCCAAGATCCATCCCTTAAGTCAGTGGTGGGGGATGCCCAGCCTTGGCTTGGAGTGGCAGCTTCTAGGTGCCTTCTCTAGGGTCACAGCTCAAGCCTCCTCAGAAGGAGGGTGAGTGATGGGACAGAAAGACTCCAGCGATCCCGAAAGACTGACGAGGACTCAGGTGGTCAGGCTGCCCAGCACACTGTAAGTCATTGCCACCCAGTGTCACCCACTCAGAGGAGCCACAGGCCCTTCTCTGAGACCTCTACCTCTTCCCTTTGCCTTGTGCTGCAAACCTCAACTTTACAGATCTCCTGTACAGTTTGCCTCAATTAAAAGCCATAGTAAATTCAGCATTTTTCCAGTTCTGCACTTTTTGCCCAGGAATCTCCTGGAATACTCCATGTAACCATCTTGAGCACAGAAGAAGGTCTGAGGCACGTACCTTCCAAACAGAAGTGCTATTTCTGTCGGGGGGGTGGGGGGCGGGGTGTGGTACAGACAAGGCCTGGGCCATTTTGGTTTTCTAGGTAAGAAGCCAGTTGCCAATGGTATGTGGGATAGAGAGAAAATACTGGAGTCTTCGGGAACCCCATTGTAACCTCACAGAATTAGGTCACTGTGCTATGGAGTGTTGGTTTTTTTTTTTAAGATTTATTTATTTATTATATACACAATATTCTGTCTGTGTGTATGCCTGCACACCAGAAGAGGGCACCAGATCTCATTACAGATGGTTGTGAGCTATGTGAATGCTGGGAATTGAACTCAGGTCCTCTGGAAGAGCAGCCAGTGCTCTTAACCATTGAGTCATCTCTCCAGCCCTGGAGTGTTTCTTTTTTTTTCTTAAATAAAAACATAGTCCTGTCTCTCGTTGGTCGCAGACTGTGGTGCCCTTGGCTTGGTGTGACCCATTGGGAGGTCATGACACTCTGGCCCTTATGCTTTCTGATCTCTGTGCTGACAAGAGCTCAAACCACGGATGGGATCCTGCTTCTCAAAACAGCACCGTAAAGACAGGAGGGCCTGACAGTCCTCTCGCGTGACAGGTGACAGGCTCTGCTTCTCTACACACGCCTGTAACGAATGTGTGTGGGGTGTCAGCTGGGCTCCAAGGAATCTCAATGCTTCCGAATGAGGAGTGTGGTCTTTGGTGAAATTGGAGCAAACATTCAGCTGTGAGCGCCGGAGACCTCCTGGGAGCCTGATCCAAGCCCAGAAAGTGCTAGAAGGAAGAGGTAAGAAACACGGGCCGGCTGCAAGCATGGCTGTTGTTAGAATGTGTGCTTGAGTGAGGTGCTGGAAGGATGGAGACGGGAAAGGTCAGCTCTGAAAGGGATGCCCCGTTCTCCCTTGGGTTCCTCCGGAGGCCACCCTCTGCACACTGGAACACAGCTGTGTTTAGACATGGTATGTTTTCCAGTGTGTGAGTGGGTCACTCAGGGTTTCCCCATCTCCTTTTCCTGCTGTTTCGTCAGCTGTGTAGAGGTTCCACACTGTTTATCAGGCCAGCATCTTTACTGGAGGCTTCTTGTTGCCATAGCAACCATCACGCGTCTGGCATTGTGTCTCGAGGATGAACTGAGTGTGACTATTTGGTTTAAAAGATGCCTTTGCTTCCTTTCATTCCTTTTGGTAATGCTGTGGCATGCAACCCAGGACTTGGAGCATGCTAGGCAAGTGTGCGCTGCTGTGCTGTGTCCCCAGCCCTTGTTTGAATGCAGGGTCTCCTTTGTAGTCTAGGCTAGCCTTGTGCCTCTTGAATGCTGTGACTACAGTTGTGCCCCACCAAGCCTGGCTGAGTTATGACAGAACTCTGGACTTCATTTTACCCCTGTAACCTACTGAGTGCCTGCTCATCAGTGAGTCACGGTGGATAACTTCTTTCTTTCTTTCCTTCTTTCTTTCTTCTTTTCTTTCTCTCTCTCTCTCTCTCTTTTTTTTTTTTTTGTTTTTGTTTCTTGAGACAGGGTTTCCCTGTGTAACAGCCCTAGCTGTCCTAGAACTAGCTCTTATAGACCAGGCTGGCCTCAAACTCACAGAGATCCGCCTGCCTCTGCCTCCTGAGTGCTGGGATTAAAGGCGTGCACCACCACTGCCCGGCCTCTAATTAGTCTTCTTAATTTTTTTTATTGGTTTTAAAATCAATTATTTGAGTATGGAGGTCAGAGGACAATGTGAGGAGTTGGTCCTTGCTTCCCACCGTGACAATGAGGGTCTTTTATGTCTGCTGCCTTGCTGTAACCCTCCAGCTGGCCATGAGATCCTGGGAGGTTGTCCTGTCCCTGCTGCACATCCTGCTTTGGGTTGTTGGGGTCACAGATGCGCACTCCTGTAGCAGAGTTTTTAGGTGGGTTCCAGGGGTTGAACCCGGGTTATCAGGCTTTCTCGGCTCCACTTTTCCCCTGAGCCATCTCCTGAGCTCCGATACCCCTTGTGTTATGCCTTTCCTCTACTTAAGCTATTTGCTTTAAATTTTTTTATTTCTATATTATATGTAAATAGGCATTTTGTCTGCATGTATGTCTGCACACCAGAAGAGGGCATCAGATATCATGGGACTATAGTGATAGACGGTTGTGAGCTGCTACATAGGTGCTGGGACTTAACCTCAGGCCCTCTGGAAGACCAGCTTGTGCTCTTAACCACTGAACCATCTCTCTAGCCCCTGAGCTATTTTCTAATGAACTGACATTCTGTGTGAATTGAGGCATCTTCCTCATGTTTTAATATTGGAGTTTTAGGGGTGGGCAGGGGTGGTGCATGTCTCTAATCTTAGCACTCGGGAGGCAGAAGCAGGTGGATCTCAGTGAGTTCGAGACTAGCTTGGTTTACAGAGTGAGTTCCAGGATAGCCAAAGCTACACAGAGAAACCCTGTCTCAAAAATAAATAAAAAATACATACCTACATACAGAATGAACGAATCAATAAAAGATGAGTTTTGCAGGAGAAGGTCCAGCAAGAGTTCTTTCCCCTCCTGTATTTTGGAATGGTCTCATGCAAAGGCCAAAAGACCGGCTCCCAGCCCCACCCAGGGTCCCTCAGAGAAATGCTTCTTAAGAATGGGGATTGGAAGATTTCTATAAGAATTTCACACAGTGTCTGCGGGTCATTTTCTTTATTTTTTTCTTTAGTTCTGATTCTCTTGTCCTAGATGTCTACAATTTCTTAGCACTAGCATTCTTTATTCTTCTGCATATTTATTCTTACTCCCTACATTTCACATTTTCTTCCAGTCTTTATTCTTCTGCTGTTAACACATTCCCAAGCATGTATGTGTATATCCATTCGTTAGCAACTTGTTATTAATTAAAAAAAAAAAACTACAAGGATACAGGAGGCATGCTTATCACCTAGTTTGCAGCCAACCACAGCTGCAACTGTGAGGTGGGACCAGCCATCTCTTAAAGGGGCTACAACAAAGGTTACAAAAGGAAGAGACTAAACCAATGAGAGATCAAAGGAAGAGGCAAAGACTATGTGTACTATTTTACATTTATGCGTGATTAATAATATCTGGACACGGTTAGTCAGCAGCCTTTCTTATCACTTGAATCTCAGGTCACAAAACCAGTCTACTGTATCTAAAATCTTGCATCAAAAACTGGTGCAGAGTGTTAATTGTTATTTTGAATCAGAACAGGGATAGTGAAGGAAGTTTAGGTCAACATAGGTACTACTGATCTCTTGAAGGACTGTGATATAACAAGGCCAGACCCCTGCAATACTGCCCTATTTTGCTGTAATTAGATCCTCTTAGATCCTACAAGGCTAGACACCTGCAACTTCATAAGTAAAAGGTTCTGCTTGTGACCTGTCCAGAAGGACACATGTCTGGCCAACTTGTTCTGTCAGTAAGGCTGATGATAGAGAGCAGTCTATCTAAGTCTCTCACCATAATGTGGAGAACATAGTGTAGAGAGAAGTCATCTTCCTGACCATCCACAAGTATGTGTGCTCATAAGATTGAGATGTAATCATGAGATTACCTGTACACATTATGTGAAAGTGCATGGCCCTGGGCAGATGTCATGGCTGTTTTAGCAAATGCGAGCAAGAGTTCCCAGAGTCGATGGTTCTGTGGGCTTTGCCCCGGCAGGACTCTCCTCCATCCGAGGACCATTTCTCTGGTGGGCTGACATCTGAACACTAGTTGTCGCCTGCTGTAACTCTCATCGTCTCTGACAGCCTCATGTTTGCCCGCTTTTCTCTTCAGTGGTGACCACTTCTAAAAAGTCAGATGGCTGGGGCTGAGCTCAGAGGTAGATTCAAGAGCCTGCTGTGTTCATTAAGCACTGGCGGAGAAAATGTTCACTCAACTCTGTAAAGGACAAACGCTCACCTCACACATGCTCAGCGCCTGCCCCTGACAGAAGACTCAACTATAGCGAGAGGCTGGCATGAAATGAGTGAATACAGGAGCTGATATGAGGATACCGTGTGGCGTGCACAGGTACGGGCACACATGCCTCTTTGTATGTGTGTAAGTGCACATTTGCATGTGTGAGATACACCTGTGTGCACTTGCATGTATATGTACAGGTGTGATATGTGTGTGATGTATGCCTGTGTGCAGGTGCTCATGTGTGTGTGAGATACCTGTGTGCAGGTTCTCATGCGTATGTGACTTAGGTCTGTGTCAAGTACATGTGTGTGTGTGATGTATGCCTGTATGAAGGTGCACACGTGCCTGGGCTATATGTCTGTGTGCAGGTGCACATGTGTATGCATGTAGTATATGCTTGTGTGGAGGTGCACATTGTGTGATATGAGCCTATGTGCAGGTGCACTTGTGCATGTGTGATATATGTCTGTTAGCATACTTGAACGCACATGTGTATGAGATTTGTCCCTGATGCTTGCTGAATCCCTTTGTATCATGACCCTCTGCTATGAGTGTCTCAGAATCACCTGTCCAGCTTCTTGAGACAGAAGAGGCTTCACCTCTTGAGAGGAGAGGGTGGTGGGACAGGAGAGCCCACGCTGCCAGAGAGCGATGCCGCACAGCAGGTCCCAGCTCCCTCTGACAGCCTCCATAATCCTTTTTGTTCCTCTGTAGGCTGTCTTGAGCGTGCAGGCATTGCTCCTCCAATGGCTTTATTGTACGTTTGCCTTGATTCCTTCATGGTTTTCAGTGTGGGACTGAGCCCAGGACCTCATCCATGCCAGGCAGACACTCTATGCCAAACCCCGGCCCTTTTTCCTCAGAGGCAGAGGGGTCACGAGTCCCACTGAGTTGCCCAAGCTGGCCTTCAGCTGTAATCCTCTTGCCTCAGCCTCCCGAGTAGCTGGCATGTCAGACGTGTGCCCAGCTCTGTGACTCCAGCACCTCCACCACATAGAGCTCTGGTCTTTCTCCGTGAAGCAGGATTCCAGCTTGTGCTTTGAGGTATCTGTTTTTGTTTTGTTTTTGCGGGGTAGGGAACTTCA